TATTCTGAAATTATAATATATGTGGATCCATTATTTAAATGGGACAGAACAAATCAGAGTTCAAGATAATTGAAAACACAGCACTTAGTTTTAGCCTAAGCATTACTTTTCTTTTCCATTGTAAGGTTTAACAAGATAATTGGCTGCATAGCATTCTTACAGGGTGTTCCATAGAAAGACGTGGGTTTTTTTAAGGTAATACTATAAATAACCCTGTACTAGAAGTCACTGTTCTTGGTTGCTGTATGTACTGATGCTTTTTTTTCTTCTCCTCCCTTTCATCCAAAATAGGTGCATCACACATTAAGAAAAAAAACTTAAGTTGCCAGGTACGGTGATCCATAGAATATGGATCTTTCTTTTCTTTCAGTGGTTTATATGCTTTGCTATGATGCCTGCACAGTCATCTGGTCCATCTATTCATGTCCCTTTTCAGCTTATGTGCTTACTCTGCAGAAAGGCTTGTTGTTGTTCTTAGGTTTTTGTCAGTAAGTTCAGCTGCTTTTGCTATGCTAGAAAATTCTTAGGGTTACATTGGTTTGATGTGGCTTTGGTCTCTTTTTTTGCAGGAGTAGAAATAAAAAGATATACAAATGGCAACAAAGTTGGTCAGAAATATGGAGTGCCTTCTGTATGAGTTACCAAATTGTCATAGATTCAAGAACATAGAGATGGGTTTATTTTTATCCACTGTATAATTAAACTTCAGAGTTTGTGATTTTTTTGCCACGTACAACTTTGTGAGTCAAGATCAGAAGGCAGTTGGAGAAATTTTGTGATTATCATGGACAGCTGTTTCTTCCATAGGAAAAACATACTGCATAGTGCTCAACTTCAGTCACTTTTTGTGGGAACAGCACAATGTCACCGTCGTGCTGCTTAACTGTTGGCTATTGTCAGAGGTGGGATGCTGATTCAGGTGGATCTGTGGTCTAGTCCAGGATGGCTATTTTTATGTTGTTCCCGCTTGCTAAGCTGGAATCGGTCAGAGGCTGTCTGGTTAGCTTCTCAGCTCTGTAACGTTATCTGCTCTGTTGGTCCTCTCCACTTAAAGAAACCAAGCAGTATCCTACAAATGTTACTTTAAATCAACCTCGCAGTTGCATTATTTCATACACTCCTGGCAGAAGTATTTTACTTTTCTGTCCCTTCCGCCTCTATCCCCTGAAGACACTGCGACTGAGAGATAAGAGGAAATAAATAGTTAGCATTGTATATCAATGGTGATGGAGGAGAGGTGGGTGTATGTTGTTCTGCGATAGTTAGGACACATCTGCTTGTTAAAAACTCAGTTCTCCGCTTCTGTTTTCTAGGATCTCTGGGGGAGGTATGGCCCTGGAAAGGTGCCGCCTGCAAACAACCATTTTGCAGAGCTTAAAAATGAAAGAGGAAAAGGGTCTGTCTCTGAGTATGGAGAACACAAAGGACAGGTCCCCCAGCCCTGTACAGTGACAATATCACACCCTGGCTGCATTAAGGCTGATTTCTGTGGCGGTCTCTCAGGATAAGGATTTGCTGTGTTTTTTTCACAACAATCATCGTTGGGACTCCAGCAAGGGCTTTAAAAGGTGTTTAATTATGAATCCATGGCCTGGGAAGACAAAGATGTCTGAGGACGGCAATAAAAACTGAAGCAACTGCTTACACAGTGACCAAAGGGAAATACACTGCTCGCATTCTTCTTGTCACACGTGGGGTGTTGCCTGGCAAGCCAGTGGAAGCATGTCCATGTGCCTCTTCTGGCTCAGGGCACTGGCTACAGTTGCCTGTTTGTTTTTTCTCCTGGGTTTTGCAAACCAACTGTTGATGCTCTCACCCAGTCCATGCTAGGAGAAGTTATTTCAGTTGCTTGTACATAAGCTGCTTTCTGGTTTTGTGTAGTCTGTTTATTTTAGTTGAGACGCTGCTCTAGAGTGACAGCTAGCATTGTAATGTCAGCACTCCAAACAGGGGCTGGAGTTTCAGTGCCACTTTCAAAAGCTTCCCTTCACCTTACGTGCCAATTCCTGATATTTGCGGCTGAGCATCATGTTCTGTCTCTTCTTCTGCACAGAACTTCTGCACTGGTGGTTACTGGAACTACGCTGTGATGGTGCCTTTTATTGAAAGCTTCTCTCACAAGATGCGTATCGTGTGCTGTGGCAGTTAAACATATGTGAAGGTATAGCGGTGTACTAGCATTCTTTCTCTTTATGCACCTTAGGCTACATTGTGTGTGTGTGTAATCACATACTACACACAAATACACATACTCTGTATATAGCAACTACAGTACATTAGGTTTTATATATGCATTTATATACATATATACTATACACATACACTATTATGTATAGTACTGTACTACTGTGTATATAGTACATCTAGTACTATATGTGTGTAGTATATATGAGCACATATAAAACCTAATGTACTATATTTGTACTATACTTCCAATGATCAGCTACTTAGCTGTTCTCCCAGTCCATATTTTGTCTTGTTGTGGACAAATGTTTGTGGGTCTAGTTACGTAAATGCAGATAATTGTTTAATAAAAGCAGGCTGAGTCCACATCTTTGTTGTGATCTGAAAGATTGAGCAGCATCTTCTAGTTCTAGATGTTTTCTTGGCTTCAACAGCTATGACTGGTCTAGCATGTATCCAGCTAACCCATATCTTCAGGCTTTGTTATCAAAAGGTCTTTCCTTTCAGCAAGGTGAGCAAAGCAGCCTGTGAAGGTTAACATCTTAAAAATGGAGATAAACCACAGGTCTCTTTGGGCTTTTTCCTGCATCTTTTTTGACCTTTTTTTTTGTCTAGTCAAAGCTGTACTCTGCAATCATGTATTTGTCAGTATCAAACTTCCCCTGCTAAATAAGGGTAGGTAGGTGGAGTCCCTGACTGATTTGGGGGGATGCATCCCCTATCCCCTAGTTACAGAAACACCTGTCTGGCAGGTGAGCTTTTAGAAGACTGCTTTCACTGAAGGTACCCTGGGCAGCATAAGTGAAAGGTGGAGGGACAGGGTAGCTCTGCCCCACAGGCGCTGATTCTTGGCGCTTTCCCAGAGCCTGTTGTGCCAGACTCCATGACCAGCTCTTACCAGTGCTGAAAGCAGTAGGCAGCCTGTGAGCGTGAGATTGTGTGTTATCTCCTGCAGCTGCCTTATCTGCCCCTCTGCATGGGGGAGGGCACTGAGAGTTATGGCAATATTGGAATGAGGCAATTTGTTAAAGGTTGCAACTTTCAGCTTACTCTTCTAGTGAACCTTTACCTACCTCAGTTTATTATTATAAGAAATCACTATTAGAAAACAATGTTTAATTAAAAAAAAATTTATTTCACACTTCTATACAAATATCCACAGGTAATTTCTAATCATGGAATGACATAGCATTGCTACCTGGTATAAAAACAGTTTGAGATAAAAGTATACCAGTGACATGACTTATTTTTCAAGAATTTCAGTTTAACACTGCTAAGACATTAATGTTTTTAGGCAGGAGCCAAAATATGCTTTTAAATCCAAGGCTATTTGTCAAGCTTCTTAGCCCCTGATTAGCCTGGCTTCTGAAGCTGCTGAGCCTTTCAGCAAATAAGCTGGAATTTTAAAAGCTCAAAAACTGCGCAACAGCTAAATTATGTGTTCATAAAATCAGGTCACAACATACTGAGATTATTTAGTAGGAGGAAGAAGAGTCTATTAAATTAATGCACTTTCTATAATGATAACTTTTTAGGTGACCACACCTTCCATGAAGGTATGTTCAAAGTTAGTAAAAAGTCAAGACACTTGACAGCTGTCCTCCTAGCAGGTTTTTACCCTATGAGGGGAAAGAAGTACCAAGAGGGTTTTGCATAGTTCAATTACTAGCAATTAACATATGTATTTTTTGAGCAGAATTTGCTTCACATGGAATAACCAATGGTGAACTAAATCTTCCTTCTTAAATAGTACCAGTGGTTTAGAACATGGGTAAAAAAGTAAACTCTTCAAACACTTTTGTCAGTTATGTTACAATAACTAGATTACTGTCAAACACAACATTGTGGTTCTACTTTTATCAACATTCAGGTATTCAAGACAATTCAGTAGTCTCAATGGAGATCAGCTCAGATGCCCATAGTTACAGTAAATTAGGCATTTATACCCTCCTCCAAGTGCTAAATAACAGTTGCAGTAGTCAATGCTTTTTGCCAGGCTGGAAGTCCTTACGAAGCTGGAAAGCTGCATCCAGGGAGGACCTATCACTTTCTTGCAGGAAGTATAAAACTGCATCTAAAAACCCTACTTCTGCTTGGTGTCCAAATTGTTAAATAGTCTGAAGTAATATACAAACCATGTTACAAGACCTGGTAATTCCTATTCCATAAAGTTACAAGTATCAGGGGGAAAAAAGCCCCCGTACACATCATCAGAATAAATATTTACATTTTTAGAAAGCATTGGCACCTTCAGTGACTTATTAAAATGCAGTGAAAGCACCAGGTCTCATAATCTGAAGTTCAAAAACAGCACATTTGAAAGTTCAGTTAAGTCTTTGGACTACAGTTAGTCAAAGACAATGATTTATAACAAAAATAAATACAAAAATGACTAAAATATATACAAAAAGTACATCCGATATTCAAGCCTCTTAAAAAAAACCTGTGTATATTTGTTGCGAGCAAGAATCACACAATTTAAAAAAAAAATTGAGCAAACATAACCTATTGCACATGTAATTTAAGATGATGCTTTTTGTTAAGCCCTAACTACTGCAGCAGGCAAAGTTTATGACTAAAGTAGATTTGCAGGTCTTCAGACTATATGTGAACAAAGTGTGTTAAGGCCACTGTGTGTTTGGACTGTGCATTGAGGGAAAGATGGAGAACCCATCTTGACCTTAACCATGCATTCCTTGCATACCTAGGAAGAAGGTTAGGACCACAGGAAAAGGTCTGCTGTAGTGGTTTTGCATATTTTGCAGAAAAGACCCCAAATCAACACAGTATCTTCTAAAGTGAGAGATAGATTTGAAGGGGGAAAGAGGCAGTCTGAAAATTAAATAATGCAAATAAAGTCTGTTGAAGCCATTTTAACTGTGCAAACAAAAGCCTCAATACAAGTAGTAATATCCACAATCAAATGGTTAATGTCCATAGTGTTCATAGGTCTAACTCCATCAGTATTCCATTAATGAAAACCTTAACCTTTATCTGAACTTTGTGGATGAAAAGGATTTTTCCCTAAGAATAACTTTCATTTTCATTCCATTTTGTGAACCACTGTTTTGTCTCAAGGTCTTTCCATTTCCCATCTTTGATCTCTCGCTCTTCTTTTCGAATTCTTACAGCATGATATCGGGGGACACTGTCTTCGTACCTAGAACGCTGGAAGAACCCGCACTGGAGCGGAGAAGAAAAAGAACAGTTTAGGTTCCAGTTCCTGCCAAAGTACGACAATCACAGAGGCAGCAAGTTTTTCCTTTGCAAAGATACACAGGTAAGAAACTTGAAAACAAAAAAATACGTAAGCCAAAAATACAGCATGTGTAACTGTAAAAACGTGAGCCAGCAGGTCTACATTAGTTGTTCAGCTGCAGGTGAAGACAAATGGCACACTGACAATCTGGTAATCTAATACCTTAAAACTATTCCCTTCACTAACTTTTTAAATTTATTTTACAGGTCTTTTAAGTCTTATTATAAAGCTATTAATTCATATAATGAGAGAATTTAACACAACTAAGTCAGTAACAGTTCAGGAAAGCTTGCTTCTCCTGAATCAAAGGTAGGTATGTACCTCAGTATCTTCCTCTATGGTGACATGATTTACCTTTACAAACGTACAGAAAGATTTACAGGACTTTGAAGAAAAGTTACACTAGGGCCTTGTTTTTCAAAGCACTGTCTCAACTACAGTCACCCGAACTAACTACACAGATGCAGTTATTAGAACACAAGTCTTGCTTAGTTTGCCATAGGATAAAAAACAGACATAACTTGAATATTCAGTAATGTGCCACAACACAAGTCTGCCTAGATGAAATCCAGTACAGCTTATTTGTGCCCTGCATTTTTTTTTATTCAAAGCCACTGTAAAAACTGATTTTAAATACTGAGAAATGGACTGAAATTCATTTTCAAAACAAATGGAGTTACGGCCATAGTGTTACAAATGACTGGCAGACACTGAACTTTACAAACGTACAGGTCACTGATGTCAAGAGACATTGTGCCTTCCAGCTGTTATTACATACAGCTAGAAAAAAAAAAAAGATTAAAGGGGCAAGGTTTTGTTCGTAGTATTTGGGGTGATGGGGTTTTTTTGTTCCGTTTGGTTGGGATTTTTCTTAAATAATATTAGTACTTACGTGGAACTACATTTTTTTAAAAATTGCTTTGAGGCAGAGCCTAAATCTTTAGCCATCTCTTAGTTTAAGATTTCATTAAACACTGTTTTGACATATTTAAGTATTCCTCTCCACCCCCTCATCCCCAGCATCACTTATTAATATAAGGTACATGCATGTAATATCTTAAGTTGAATAAAGGTTGCTAGAAGCATAAATCATCATGCATTTAGTAGCTTCAGCAGAGGAAAGTACATTCCTAGAAAAGTATACCTTGGAACTGAAGGAAAACAGATGCTTCTGCAGCAATTAAATTCTCATGAAAACCCCTTTCATTATAAGCAACATGTATCTTTTAGCATGCACTAAAGGTTAGTAAAGCAAGTGTATCTATCATCTGTGTAGTCTTAAAGTGTTGACTACCATCTCTCAAGCTTAAAAACTTCCTTAAAACATAAATTTTAAAAAAGACTAAAACCCATTGCTATATATCAACATGTTTTCTAAGCTTTTTAGACCAAGGTAAACACCTGTGTTTGTTCACGTGCACCAAAAGCTGAAAATCTATCGACAGAATGAGCAAGCAAGTACGGTAGTTTGAAATCCAAAAGTTAATAGAACATATGCAGTAAAAGCTTCATAGTTAGCCACCGCAACCAGAGCATGTGCCACAACTAAAAATTAAAAAAATATCAATTACCAATTACAGAAGTAGATCAATACTATGCATCAGAAGTAAGCCTCTCTTTATCAGATGGCTGAGCATGGATCTCAGCCTTGTGATATGTGGCATCATAATGATCTTTCTTATTTCTCTTGAAGAAACCACACTACAAGGAAGCAAGGTATTTAGTCAATTTTTGTGGACTGGAAGAAGTCAAACCTATTAAAAATGTCTTAAAGTAACTCTGTGAACTATCTTCCCATTATCGCTTCACAGGCCAAAAAAAAAAAAAAAAAAACACAACACACAAGATCTCGGCTTTTTCTATATCTGAGAACTTCTTGGACTAACTCAATCTGCAAAATAATAACCTGAGATAAAAAGTATTATTTTAGAGGCATTTTGATAAATTTGTAATCCGTCTGTTGGGGTTTTTTTTAAGAAAAGCTATGAAGTACATCTATAGCAACTAAAGCTGGCTGTGAAGAGCAGGAAGTCTATACAGAAACCTGTTTGTGGACTAGTGCACAGGATAGACAAAAACACAGGGTAGAAAAAAAAATGAGCACTGCTCTGACCTGTACAACACAAGCATTTGTCTTAAACCAATCATGTAACTGTCTTTAAAGTACCATGTTAGTCCTTCACAAGATGGCACTGTCTCCTCATCAACAGCCGCATTTTACGCTGTGTGTGCATGTGTGAAAAATGTGTGTATTTTTCATGTGCAGTAAAACACTAGCAGTTACAACCTAACAGCCCACCCTAAGTATTAATTAAATCAGGAAGATTTGCAGTAGGGTCTGGGCATATATTAGAAAATAAGAAATTCAGAACTATCCTGTGACAAGTAACCTGCAACAAATAGATCCTCAGCAAAGCTTACTGCTGCAGTTTCTCCAGAAAAAAATCAAGTGACACACAGGGTATTCTTCTTCACCTCTTCTTTCTTAATAACCTTCTGCTATCACATAATGGCAAATACTAACACCTAACAATGTTACACTTGAAACCCCAAGTAGCTGTAAAAATGCCAAAGGTAGTTAAAAAAATAAGTACTTGATTTTTTTTCTTTTGGGAATTGTTAGCCTTTTGTTATATACACTTATTTACTCCTTCAGGGTTTCTAAGACAAAAAGCCAATGCTACAGAAATTCACCAACACACCTGGTTCTGTATTATTTTTATACCTTGTGGTTATTTTCCTCTACTCTCAGTGTAATGGCATTTCTAATGTTATGAGAACAAAGCCCTGCTATAACATTTGTAGATAGTTCACATGAAGTTTTACAACTGCAGAAGCCCCAGTTAGCTGTATCCATCTGTATCAAAGTAACTATAGTCTCTGAAGTTTTGCCCAGAGCACAAAATACTTCTTTTGAAGATGTGGAAACAGAAAAATTTCATAACAAGTCTTCCCCTGTAACCATTTTCATTCCAAATGTTGCAAAACTGAGAAACTGATAAAGGTAATGTATGGTTTGGGCAGCTTTTACTTAATCATTTGCTTAATTACTTTGCTGTCTTGTCAGTTGTAGACCAGGAACTGTAAAATAATCAGATAAATAAAAACTCACCTTCCATAGTAAGAATACCAACAACGCAAGCATCAGTATTCCAGCAAAAATAGCCACCGAGATGATCCACCAAGGCACTCCTGTATAAAGTGCTACTGGTTTTGCAGGAAAGACAGTAACACGCACCTAAAGGAGAAAAAATATATGAAGATGGAAAGGGCATTTCAGAAGCATCAATGTTTAATATAAAGCTGCAATTTATACAGTCTTATCTCTTCTCTAACATGATGTCTTCTCTCTCTCATCTACAAAACGTTTTTGAAGAAGTAGTTCCTACTGGTATCAGTTCAATATGGTAGTGAATTTTTCCAAGCCAGTTAAAAGGTAAAAATTATCAATAATTCAAAATTCAGCTAAAAAGCCAAGCATTTAGCTACTGTTGTTTTAAAATACTTTTTTTCCAGTCTTTGAGATAAGCTGGAAACAGCACCATAACATATGGTTAGCATTAAATGTTGAGCCTACCTGAGCAACTTCATTTGTGAGTTTAACATTCTTAGCTGCAGCAGGAACACTGATCGAAGCCCTAACAAGAATGTCCAAGTAGTTCATTTTGGAGTATTCCTTTTCAAAAATAAAATATGGACATTAGACAAAGAACAGGAAAGAACTCTGAACTTCCAAAAATGGCAGGCAAGAGGACTTACTTCTAAGAAAGTACTGTTCCACAGTCTGGAACGCAGCACAATAGATGCTTTGCTGTCTAAACCCTTCAGGGGACACTTTATGTCCACACAGCGTGCATTCACATTGCAGTCCTGCAATTACAAATTTCTGTGTGTAAATAATAACACATCCTTCCAAATTGTTTAAACAACCACCCCCACCCTGCCCCCCCCAATTAAAAATTGGATTATATGCATCATATTTATGTGCAAGAAACAAAATCTGTTTGTACCGACAGCAACAGGAAAATACACTGAAAATGCTATTAGCTGTTTATTTTACTGTTGAGAACTATTGCAGAAATGCTTTCCTATTTCTCTCTCATCAGTAGATAATCTAAATAGTCAAATTTTAAAAGCATAGATACTTTGCTTTGTTTTTATCTTTAAGTCCAAGAGATACCTTCTTTCACGCTGCTGAACTCTGAAAAGCCCTCTTACGAGTGCAGGGGGAGGTATCTGACAAGACTATAGTTGATGCAGTATGCTTACCAAGGTCTTGTATTTTCTTTCTGAGAATAAAGAAAATGACTTGCTGTCTGTAATCTGCTTCTCTGCAACCTCTCGTTTCCTTCTTGAGTTATGGGATTCCTAAAAGAAGGGGGGGGGAAGAGCAAGAATAGTTTTAGTATTTTATCATTAAAGTATTCTCTTGGTTCTCTTAATTCTGACCCCATACGAGCAGAGAAACAAGAGTTCAGTGACTCTTTTCTTGTTCCAAGATCAGCACGAGTGACATCGTTATATATCCCTACTTATCTACATTTATTGCTAATAGTAGAGTCAAGATAATCACTAGAACTTAATACCTGAAGAAAGGTCAACTGACAACTTTCTTTAGTAAGTCAAGGAGGTTTTAGATTTATAAAGCTTTCAATACTATTTTGATTTTTGGTCAATATTAAGTGATGTTACTATGCTAAAAAAATAAGATTGTGCTGAGGTCAGTAGATGCATTTTTTTTTAATTGTATACTTAATTACACTCACTGAAGGTTTTATTAACTAATGTAGTGATCTGACAAGAATGGGTTTATATACATGCAGTTTAATGGTGAAAATTAAAACTCCTCTCAAATGATCTTAAGATTATGTGAAAAAAAATTACAACAATGAAGGCTATGGGTTTAGGAAAAATATCTTCCTAGACAGGCACAACAAAGGGCTATTAAACCTCTTGCTTGAGAAATTATTTTTATCATATTTGTTATAAGTAAGTAAAGTGGACACCCTTTCTCTTTAAAAAAGTACATGAAATTCCCCCAGGTTGGGGGAGATGTTTACTGTTGATTATTGTTTTCTGTGCAAGAACTTGATCAGGTTTCAATTACGATGATGATGAAATATGTTAAAGCAAACAGCAATTTCATCTTGTAAGCACGTATGACAGCAGTGGAATCACCACGACATGCCATCTGTCCTGTAGCATGTTATCCTCAGTAGCTGTTATGAAGTCTCCTAATAAGGTTAACCCTTGATACACTGTTCACATATTGTCCTTGTGAGCTGCCTAAGACAAAAGAAGTCCTTCTGGAGGCAAGCTCTTATGCCCTCCTATCATGTGCTTTCATGTTGTACTATTTCATCAACAGGAAACAGGGTAACATACCGCAACGTGCAAACTATTGATTTCACTCTCGGGTTGACAGGAGACTTCTTCCAAGCCTTTGGAATCTATTTTCATCAAATAAAGCAGCCATTTACCATTACTAATTTCTTTTGGCCATTGGATGTCCAGGGAAGCAGTACCAAATGTTTTCAGTGGTCTGCCCAAGTTCGTTACCTGTTAAAAAAAAACAAACACTCTTTGAACTATGAAATACTTTTTAAGGGGATTTTCTTCTCAATTGAAAGTGGTATCTACTTGGGCAAGTTTTAAGCATGCAGCTAACAGGAAATTTAAAAGCAGATGAAAGACAGTTGAAACAGATTATAAAGACAAAGCATATACTGAAACTAGCATGCTTGGATAGCAAGTAAATAGTTTAAACATGTAAGGATTAAAATTCTGTAACAAACTTTAAGCTCTTCATTTTTATAAATCTGTCTTCACATGAAACAAGAACAACTCCAAGTTAGAGTTAACAAATCATTCAGTTACATAACTGAGGCAAATTGCAAGTTTATGAGGAACTCTGACACAGAAGGATAACTAGTTCGTGCTCTTGTAAGTGGGAGGTTGTTTCCCAACCAATTTTTTGCTTTCGTAGTGTTCTGTTCATGATAGCAAGTTCTAAAACAGATATTCAACTGCTTCTACTTTAATATCATGCATGCAGGTACAGAAGGAAGTAAAGGATTGACAGAGATGGACTTTAATCCTGACAAACTAGACACTGGGGCTTGCATTAGTGATGTAGAAAAAGCAATGCTCTTGCTGATAAACCAAGATTTTACAAAACCAGAATCATCTCTTAGCCTTCTCCTAGCAGAAGACCAAAAGAGTGAAATAGACACCCACACATTCCAAGTCGCTCCCGCAGTCTTCTACTGCCTGCTCAATCCTGCATGCAGTAAGTAGGTGTACTCGCTGTCTGTGTGCACCAACTAACACCCAGGCACATCGCAGTTAGGGTTCTGGGTTTAAGTTTTGTTCTCTACCTGCATGGGGCTTTATGCTGTATAACTGAATGTGTGTAAATTGCTCTGAGAAAAAAGTGTACAGGCCACTTCCTTAAAATATGACTGTAAAACATCAAGGCCTAAAGAAGCTCTAGTCTGCAGTCAGACTGCATGCTCTGATCAGGAAGTCAGGATTTTGGGACAAGAAAAGCCAATTTTAAATCCAGCAACTTTTCCAAGTATTCATATGGATAAAGAGAGAGGCTGTTCATTTGATTAAATGCAGGCTTGTTGGCCTTAATCTAAATTACTCACTCTGAATTCATACTCTATGAGGTTTCCAATATGGTCTTCAGATTTCATAGCACTCTCACCAACGATGTTGCCACCAAAATATACCTGAGAAGGCTTAGCAACTCTGTTCAGGTGGGGTTGGGGAGGGAGAAGAATCAGATTTTACTTAAGTATGCAGCAAAACTGTCATCCCCAGACCCCCCATTTGTTATGCTATCAACACTTACCCAGTGAGTGATAAAAGCAATTCAAGAACCACTTTAGCACTAGCTGTAATTGGAGTTGAATTAACTTGAGTGCTTGTTCTACAATGAAAAGGAAACAATGTATTTTACAAATTTAGCACTTTTCACTTTACTATTAAATTGCTTTTGTGAATTGAACAAATCAATTCAAAATGTTTGCAACTGTATATAAAAACATAGTGTGCGCACACAAAGAAAACTTACGTTTCCAGCTTCAGATTAATGTCCAAGTCTGTTGTATCAACATTAACTTTAGTGGTACTTAAGATCAGGTAAAAGGTTACCTAGACAAGAAAAAACATCCATGAAATAAGTAACCTTTTATAAAATATGTACACCATTGAGTTCTAGATTTCAAAAGACAGATCCAAAGAAAAATCCCAGTTATGACACATAGAACCTTTGGATGACCGCAGTCACAAATCATATTTTATAACTTAAGTAAAAAAGTGCAACTTACATTGGAATTTCTTTTGAAAGGATTTCCAAGTTCACACTCTGCTTGAGAACCATTTTGGTTAGCACCACACGTTAGCTGTTTTTCCTGATTAAACAGAATACATTTAAAAGTAAAAATATGCTGAAAATGTTTAAAGATTTTAATATCTTTTCTCTTAAAAATACTTACAGGATAACCTCTCATCTCCCTGAATGCAGAATAAGTCAGACTGTCCGGAAAAGTTGCAATTAGTTTAGCTTCATATGCATCTTCACCATCTTTTTGGGGATTTTTTGCATCAGATGGATTGTTTGTCACTGTTATTTCCAGAGCAATATCCTTCTGGTCTTTCAGAACAAGCACTGGCATGCCATTTTCACTACAGGAACAAAAGTATACAGACAGGATTGTGTGCATCAGGAAATCAAATGTGTACAGAAGTTTGCTTCTTACTATGTTTTACCCGAACATAATTCCCTCTATTAGGGAAGAATTACTGTAAGACCATAAACACATGAATGGCTGTAGGTTTTTTTTCCCAGACCAGTCATCTCTGAAAGTGGCCAGCAATTACCAGGATAGAACAGACTGATACACCCCTCAAGTAATCAAGAGTTTTAATTGTATTTTTAGATATTATGCTATTTTTATAGTATTTCTGAACCAGCATTTGTATCTGGCTCATGTTTAATAGTGATTAATTTTCTCAATAAATCTACTGACTTTTTTCTTGTAAAATATACATGATGGTTTTGGCTTCTGAGTCAGATTGCAGCACTCACTGCTAAAGGTGACTGACTGTTGACGGCAAGTAAACATACTTTTTTTGTTTGTTTCACACCTCCTTTCTAATTTCACTGCCCCTCCAGGGAGGAGGGATGCAGTGGCATGTTAGCTGTGTGATACAGTGAAATGATTTCTCTGTTCACTGCTTGTCTTAGGCCACTAGACTACAGTATATCATGTTGTTATACTCAAAAATCAAATTTTGTCTCAAAAATAGTTAACAATAGCACACACAATTGTGTGTACTGCAAGGCTGGTTTAGAATCTCATTTCTCTAGGGGTTAGAAACCTTTTTGTCCCAACTTTTAGCTGACACCTGCACAGCTGTGTCCACTTTGTATCCACATTTGTCTCTACCATCTTCTAAAGCTCATCCCCACTCCCCCACCTTCCTCACCCGGACAGATCAGTACTACTACAGAGGGCTGTGTTTGCCAGACTAACGGAACAAAGTTGCTCTATCTCCCAAACCCTCTCCTAAAGTTCTTTTAAGCACTTGTTCATAATTTGAATTTTAGCAATGCATTAACCAAGGCTTACATTGGTAAATAAGTAAACCTGTCTTCATTTCCTTCTCTAGTGCAAAACCGGTACTGAAGTTTCAGATTGCTGTGACATTCATTGTCTTCTCCACATCCTTCTTTTAAGAACTCCACCTAAATAAAACGAAAGCACTTTTACTGCATGCAACATGACCCTAGCTTAAAACAAGGATGTGCACTGCATAAAGCATTTAAAGGAAACTCAGAGACACCTTCCTGGGTAGAGTAAGATTTTAACTTGACTCTTGCTTCTTGCCTATCAAGAGTTTTTCTTTGTGAGGCATAGCCCTGTGACTAAAAGGCAGAGTTAGATAATTCTAAGTGAGAGGTACACTTCTCATGAGGAAAAACATCCTTGAGTCTGATTGTTCAATGAGTGTTGAGGAAATGAGATCTTTTACCCGAGATATTTCCTCTCTTTCACATCACTGCTGCAGAGTTCTAATGCTGTTACAGCATCCTAAACACAGAAGAATTAGACTGTGCGTTATTTTGTGATGTGGGACAAGTGTTCACAGCAGGAAATGATGGATTTACATTTTTAATCAAAAGTAAATTTTCTCCTAACTTATTGGGGAGAGAAAAACCTAGCAGCTATACCAGCTTCACTTTTGTTGCAAAAGAAACACAGGATCTAGTTCATAACATCTTGTAACAATAACAAGTTCATAACAAAATGTAAAATACGAGCCAGTAGTTTCAAGTCCAGTGCCACCCCAATTATTTACTTTGGTCATAATTTAGCTTTCTAGAGTATTTAAAAGTCAGTGATTTATCAACGTGCAGATTTATGGGAAAATGTGATCTGAAAGGCTTACTTTTGTGGTCTTTGTTTCAGATTCATTTGAATTTAGAATTGGTATAAGATCCGGAAGTGCTCGCTCTTTTCTTGTGGACGGTGAGCTAGACTCCAGGCCAGCAATTTTAACACTGACTGATATTGGAATGGGGCGTAGCTTATCTTTAATTTTTTCCTGTTAAAATATTTTAAATGGCATAGTTAGTGTACAGTGCAGAGAGTTAAAAACAGCATGAAGACTAGCTTTTGATACACATTTTAGAACAAGCAGTAAAGCAAAATATTTTCTACTACATTGTGCAGTATTAAAGCTATTCACTATATAGAAACCCAGCATTTTCTAAAAAATGTGCAAGAACAAAAGGAGCCTAGCCCTACTGTCTTTTTTTTTTTTTTTTTTTTTTTCTGGCTTCCCAATCTGATGATTTCTCTCACCATTAAGAATTACAAGGAACAACAGGCAGCAACTTAGGCAAGTGAAATTCACACAACAACAGTAAAGTAACATGCTTCCTTCCTATTGCGTAAGTTCAAGCTCTTTAATTTGCTATGGTCAAAAGCAAGCTTGGAGGCTCATTACTGATGAGCCACAGAGAGAGAATTTGTTCAGCTCCTGGAGCAATGCCACCTTTAAGGGCCAGCGTAGCAGCCAAGTCAGAGGGCACATACCAAGCTTTCTTGTCCTGCCCATTCATCCCCTCCAAAACCTGTGGGTTAAAATTCTTTTCCTAGCCAGCCACACTGTTAAATTCTGTAACAATTACTTCTGCTGGAAATGCCATCTTTGGCATTTATTCCCTCTCTATTGTTCTAAATTAGTTCAGCTCTATTGACCTCCAGAGCATGCTGCAGTGGCTACAACTTCTGTTCATACTTTGTAAGAAAGGCAAAAGGAGGAAACGCCATGTGTACAGGGAATAGTAAGGCACTACTTAGCTATGGTTGTTTTCTAGATTTGAAGATGAGACTTCTAAGTTATATACAAATGTACCATGAGTCTGAAAAAAAAAGCATGCTTTTGTTTTAAATGGATCTAAATGAAATAAAAATAAAATAGACTGCCTTACCTGCAGTACAAGCTTGGTTGTCACACACTCTCTTGAGTTCTGCCCCCTTAGGGTTGTACTTGCAGTAAACTGATCAGACAGGTGGTCTTTAAACCGCACCCTAGATGGCAGGCCCAACTGCCTCCTCTCGTTTTCTGCTTCAAATGTGTAATTGATCTCTATATGAAGAAATAAAGTAGGTCACTATAAAAAAGGACCCTTATTAAAATTAAAATTAATTTATTCAGGTATGATCTTACAATGTTATTCTAGAAGACTGTTTTAGCCAGTGCTCGGCTTCACACACTGTTTTCAGTTATTTACAGAACTTCCTCCACCTGTCAGTTTTGTCCCTCTCTAGTTGAGGGCCAGGTACCCTGTGCATGTATCGAAAGCAAACTTCTAAACCAAATCCCTTCATTCCAAAAGAACCCCATTATTTTAGCAGCATGCAGAGCTGGCTGGAGGAGCTGTAATTGCAGCTGTAGAGCCAGTAGAGGGCTGAGATACAAAACCCTGTAAATACTCTTGACTCGGCTGTCCTTGGTTTTTGTTTTGTCCCAAATGGCACCTAAGCAGCCAGCAGAACTTGGAGGTCAAGGTACACTATATTAATTTTATCACTGAAAGCAAAAGTGTGACTAGAGCTTTCCAGTGGTATGCTGAGGCATGTTTTGATAGATCTGAACTCTCTTCATCTTTTATCATCCCTCTCTCCACCGAGCTAATTCAATGTTGCAAGGATGGCAACAGCACTGAGCATGCCAGGCCTTGGGAGCATGCAGACGGCACACATGAGCTGCCTCCGAGAGCTGCAAGTGCTTGACCTGTTGAAGGACCAGGACCTTATTCAAGCACATCCTATGGATTTTACAAGTAACTGTAAAATGTAATGCTCAAGACAACACAGGAGGACATGGATGCTTGGGCTTAAAATTCTTCTTATTCCCTCTCAAAATCACAAAACTTTTCTGAGGTGTAGTAACTGCAGCATTGTAACAAGAGAAAAAAAAGGAGACCTGAGAAACTAACACTTTTACATTTTTTACTATATTTGTGTCACAGTCTTCCAGGCTCCTGTTAATACAAAGATTTTTTTATTTCAGTTACTGATTTCCACAAAACTATTTTCATTAATACAGAACAGTGTTTTATAGGGTAAGTCTCCAATAAGAAATAATACTTACTAATGATACATAAAATGGGCTTTTAAAACTATTTTCTAAAGCAACAGTAACCTAGAGGAGCAAAATGGTTTTGGTATGGCAGCCATTTGCTCCCTGGCAGCTTTATTACCTAGAAAGCTTCAGTTCAGTCTGTCACCCACAGAACTTCCTAACACACCAGCGTGACTCTAAATACGTGTTACTCTACTTACGGATAGTGCAATAGCTGATTAAACTTAGTATTGAGTCACATTTTAAATTTGACAGTCACAGTCTGAGTCACTATAATTTGAGTACTACACTTCTATGATATGCTCTAAAGGAAAAACAAAAAACAAACCGTGTGACAAGCAGATCAAAAATATTTATCTTTAAAACTTACTTATTCTTGGATTTAAATCACTGGGGTTTGCAGTGTATTGAAAACACGCTTTCACATCCATCCTGTAAAAAGTGCAAAGAAATTTAATATTAATGGTCCAACGGACTGAAAAGTTTTAATAGTCCACTGACTGATACTATCAGTCTTGTGACTCTGACTTTCATGCTGGAACAGTAATTTACCGCTTACTAAACTAAAAGCAAGGAAAAAAATGGTTAATAAGCAATTAGAAAAAATATTTTCTGGCATTTGCTGTTACATCTCTACTCATGAAAAAGCTGTTGAAGTTACTTCTAAGTTAAAAGTCCTAAGTGGCAAAGTCACATTTGTTGTCAAAAATGGACAATCCAAACAGAACATATTCCACACCACGTCTTCAGCACAGTAGTTACAACAAGTTCAGGAAGCCAAAATGATCACATGTAGATACATCTGCTTAACCTGCATGACTGTCCTATCCCTTCACTTCAGCATCATCACTGGCTGAACGAATTCTAACAACAGAAAACTCAGTACACCAAGGCTTCTGATGTAATCATTTTTTTTAATTACCATATTTCACTAGGGTCCTCAGGATTCTTTTTCTTTAGATCAATTCTGTCAGGATGTACTGTAATGCTTCTTTTAATGCTTATCACAGGCCGAGATCTTCATTTGGGGGAAAAAATGCGGAAATAAAAGAGATAAAAAAGAAGGAAAAGTTTCCATTAAGGTTAATGAAATAATTCATGTGGATCCCAGATGCCCTCCATGCCTGCAATGATTTGCAACAAGCCCAAGAAACACAGAGTTTGGCTTTGATAATGGTCAGAAACAAAAGAAAACTACGTAAAGCTAAGCAAAGCAAGTCACAAAGAATTACGACAACTGTATTAAATGCCTGACAGGGAAGCAGGATACATTCATGTCATGTTGTGGTTGTCATTTTATACACATACAAAAACTAGAAAATTCCAAGTAATGGTTCCCACCCCAATGGTAATTCAGCCCTTGTGAACAACTGTAGGCACTAAAGTTCATTCGGATTAATGTTCACAACAGTTTCAATGTGGATCCTGGGTGGCTGTGGGAAACTATGTTTTCATTTCCTGACTCCTCCGCATGTAGGCTGTAACCATAATTCAGCCTGACAACTTTCTTCCTTTTTGTAAGGGACAAGAAAAGACAGTTCACGTGAACAAATGAATGAGCTGCTCCCACTCTTGACAAAGCATCTAAAGGTCATTCAAAATGGCCAGTAAGCCACCTCCTCCTTTTCTAGGAAATTTCTTTTAACTGGGCCACCCCTTTCACTGTTCTTCATCATAAAGGTTTTTGTTCCCACCTTTGTAAAAGTTTTTGTACTGCCCTTATCAGCAAATTATTAAAGCTCTTTTTGAGTAAGCAGAACACCTAATAATCTAACCAACTTCCATTCCACCTACTCTGTTCTCTTCCACAGGCAGTATGAGTGGCTTTTGCTGGGTGCTATTTCAGTGTATTTAAGAACATTCCGATTATATACATAGATACTATACACCTTGGAGATGGGATCGTCAAAAAATTGTAGGAAAGGTCGTTCTGCCTGAAAGGTAGAGTTTTCATGCCCAAAACTGAGATAACCAGTTTTGGAGTTTCTGCTCCTCCTCCTCTGGCACCTGACAGCAACCAGTATCGACTTGAACTTGATGCAGGATTCACAGCTCAGATGAGACAGTCCTCTTCCTGCTCATTACTAGTGATTCAACTTAACAGTACATTAAACCAGAAAAAAAGCAGAGGTCCGTAAAAAACCATGACCTCATCCCTAATTAAGACACGATACAGAAATCCAAAAGGATCCTATCTGCAGCGCTTCCTCATGGCTGTTTCATGGACCCCACAGCAACCTCAGCAAGGCCGCATGCCTCGCTGCTTTTGGATCCTCAGCTACAAAAGAGGGGTTTGGTTTGGTTTTGTTCTATCATGAATGAAACACAATGAGATTTATATAACAGCAGCAAACAAAAGCTCTAGCAAACTTATCGGTTAACTTCTCCTTTCATAAGGCAACAGAATTACTTATCACCCTTAATTCCATCCAAGGACAGAGGCATCCCACTAAGTTACGACAGGGCAAAGCTAGGGTACAGGTACGCTACACACTTCAGCACTCTGCAGTAACTGTCCATATTCACCCTCTCACCCTGTATTGATTGTAAAGCAGCTTCTCAATGAGAAGAGGGGGATAAAGTAACAAACCAAAATATGGATTCTTTTTTTAACCATAATTTACAACTTCTGGAAGGAAAAATACACTCCAGGCCAAACTGCTTTAAAACCAAAACCATGGTGTAATTAGGTACAGTTCTGTATATAATACCTGAACACAGATACTGAATCTGAAAGGGAACCAACAGCAATATCAGGGTATGAATTTTTATCCAGGTCCATGTTTCCAGCAATAGAGTAACCAAAGAAATTGGTGTCTGTTGTTTCACCATCAAGAATCTAAAGAACAAACAGATTGAGGGAAATCAGATATGTAAAAGCTGTAAAAGTTAAAGAAGTAACAAATGAAATTCATTGTCTCATGGGCAGGGGAAGAAAAAAAAGAAAAAAAAAAAAGAAAGGAAAAAAAAGAGAAGAGAGCCAAGGAAATAGGACCTCTGTGTTCAGGTAAACGACACTGAAGTGCCAAGATATTTGCTTTTCTTCCAAGAATTTACTTTGCAATAGCAGTGAGTACCAAACATGACTGTTTAGCACAGAAATGTTGCCTAGCATATCTTTATTTATAGTATTTATGGGGCATAGGCACTTAAAGCTGAAAAAGTACTCGAGAAAGTATTTTAACAGTATAGAGGAAGTGTAATCAAGTTCCATTCTCACCTTGCAGACTGAACACAGTAGTCCTCAAGAAAAAAAAGAAAAACACATAAACATTTTTCTATTAAAAATATAAAGTAATAGTAGTAAAAAGAAAATTAAGAAACTAATTATTTTCAAAATCCCCAAATTTCTTCAAAAAAACAAAACTTATATATCCACATGCCTTTTTCCTTCTCTGCTTATTACTGGTGCCAAAGGACTGCCCCAGAAAGAAAAATGAGTATTAAAATCAAGAATTTCTAATCTTTCTAGTCAGCAGTGCAGTCTTTGAAGAGTCCTGTGACTTTTCTGCATACCCACCACCCTACTAATAGTAATGGAAAGAAAGAAGATGGATAGCCCTGTCATTCCTTTAATTTTGTGCAGGACTAATTATATATAGTAAAGGTTATTTCATTACCTGTGCTGGTTTTGTATTTATTCCATTCTTGGATCCATGATAAATGTATACTTTGCCAAAACCATCATAGGGAGCCCCTACTGCAATATCTGTTGAAAATAAGTTGTAACATCTAAAATCATTTGTACTCTTTTTGCAGCTTGCAACCATGATAAGGTTAAGATGTTCCAAGTCTGGCATTAGCAAAAAAGTCACATGCATTTTTATTGTAATCATTTTTCACTCACCTGGATATCCATCCCGATTAATGTCCCCAACATTTTCAACTGCAAGGCCAAACATGGAGTCAGTGGTTCCATTTAAGCGAATAGGTTTTACTCCTTCCCATTTGCCTTGACGGTTAATGTAGATGTACACAGCACCACCAATATCTCCACTTCTGTCGAAATATTGTGGGGCTCCAACAACAATGTCTTGCCATCTTAGAATTAAAGAAAAAAAAATGCAGTGTTTTTACAGAACTGCGAAAAATAACTGATCAGACTGTGGTCTCAAGGTCAGCTAGACAAAAAGCTGCAGAACAAGGACTAAAAAGTACATTAAACTGGTTGAGCAACAACAGCTCCGCTGATACTACAAACTGATTATATTTCCTTTGTGACATACAGGGATCTTTTAAGGCCTTCTCTGGGTATGAGATTTGTTTCCTTGTTTACACTAATTGTTTAAATTTAAATAAACTCTTTTCTATAATTAGAAATGTAGACTGCGTCCTGACTGGTTCTCTGAGATGGTCACCATTTCCTCCAGCAAAACACGTAAAATGGGATTTGGCATTCCTTGTATTTCTAACAAACCAAAGTGGAAATAAACCAGATTGCTATCCCTCATTATACAGGCAGCAGGAGTTAACCAAGGCCGTACCCGTCACTGTTGAGATCCACGACAGCAACATCATAGCCAAAAGAGGAGGCCAGCCCTTCTCCTTCAAACATGTGCTCGAGTGAAAGCGCTCTCTGATTTTTCTCTTTTTTCAATAAAACAACTGCTCCACTGTGGTTGGCTCTTGGGGCACCAGACACAAAAGTCATCTCATCCTGGGAGACGATTCCTTTACCAGAGTCCAGAGAGAAACCTTTAACAGAGAAAAAAATAAAATACAAACAAACAAACTAAAGACCTGCATTGTTAATAGGAAAAATAAATTCCCCTACTATATTAAAGTGGTATATTGAACAGAAGTTTTGTCTAAAACAGAATATGATATACTGGGATTTCTCAATTTCTATTTGGACTGGTGGATGCATGTTTACAAGTCAACACTCCTCCATACATTACATTCAAGTATTTCCCACACAAAACTTATTATTTCATTGCTCACTCAGATCTACTTTTCACAGGCACCACATACAAGATCATTTTTAAACATACCAGCTTAGAAATGACTAAACCTTACCACTTGAATATAGCTCGAGTATTTCACCTCTAACAAAATTATAAAACTTCCTAAGTACAAGTCAGTGTCATTCTACTGCAAACATGCACAATGTACTGCACAAGCACGGCATTTTACACAAATGATGTACGCAGTATTTGAGAATCACCTTATACAGTAATGGTGAAATTGGCAATTTTGATTTAATGCAGCCCTAAAGGACATGTTCACATGAATTTAGTCTTATGTATTCTTTATACAAGTCAATACATTTTAAAAAACACTAACAACTGTTAGAAGAACGTACTGCACATACCAACATATCCAATGAAGGCCAAAGTAGGAAATCATGCACACTGCAAGAAGAAAGATTGTAGCCAGCAGATAGAAATTTCCTTTCTGAAACACTTTCACCACTACTATGAAAATTCTCAATTACAGCAATTCACAATGAGACAGTTTCAGAAAAATTCAGGGGGTCCCATCTGGGGGAGGGATGAGAGGGTTTGGAGAAATGCATGACAAATCAGTGTTTCTCTGAAGCCATGGTATTTTGCAAGCTCCTCTTCATATGAATCCCTGTTTTTACATGCTTTTACTTGCAATGTATTTGAGATGAGGGGGGATGGAGAGGAGAGGGTCATGTCAAAGGTCTGGAGATTATGTTTGACCAGATGCTGCCACCTCAAGTGGTCACAGACCTAAGTAGCTATTCATCATTACATCCATGGATTTGTCCACCTGTATGCCGGGAGGCAATGTTTTGTATACAAACTGATCTGGATGAGTATCAGATACAGCTGTCAAAAATAGAAGACCTGTAAACACAAGCGAAAGATTGAAGAGAAAAAAAAGTAGTAGTTAAGCAAGGCAGCTATAGCCATGTTTATTTACTGTCTAAGCAGAGGGAACTGCAGGCTTGCCTGAAAGCAGGTTTCATTGTGACAAATCAAAGCCAGCATTTATGTTTTGGAGATAAACACATTTGTTCTGAACCAGCAAAATGTCAGTATTATTCTGTTCAAAGCAAAAGTCACCTCCACAGCACTCCTCGCCTTATGAATTCTTATTTCACCTGAAGAGGCTATCAGCTTGTCTTTCTGACATAAGCTCTTAGGATTTTTTAATTTTTTTTTACACCCAGTAATTAGTAAATTACTACTGCTACTTAATGGAAGTTTGTTCTATTTCTTCTAAACAGATATGTAGCTCTAAGTTGGCTCTTTTCTTGACTTGCTTTTACTTTTTGTATCAGCAATGTCCTTCCCATCTGTTCAGCTTCCCACCACTCATATAGAAATTATAGTTTCAAGTTACCAAAACTGTATTTGTCACATAACCCAAAAGCAGTGGATCAACACACCACAGAAATCTGCACTAGAACGGAACGGTTCTTTACGCTTGAGGCCTTTCCAAAAAATGCAGCGTAGCCTTTTCTCTGCTCAAATCTAAAACATAGCCTCTTACTAGCTACTGTGAAGAAAGTTAACTCTGTCCCAGCTGAAACCAGGTCACAAGCTACAGTAACATCCACTGGCCTAAGGACATATTTCTGCTTTCATGCGTGCACAAAGTGCAAAAGACTCACCTCCTGCAGCACACGCACACACACTTAAAATATAAACACTACTCCTGTTATGGTACTTTAAGGGCCTGTAAAAAGGCCACCGGAGTTTCAAAAACTTGAAGAATAAAAAAATTGTACTCACCCACCAGGAGAGAGAAACTGCAGAAATTCAAATTTTGATAAACCACCTGATCCCACATGGCAGAGACCCTGTGGCTGAGGACTACAGATCCATACACCGTACTTAACCATTAGAGCGATTATAACCACTCCCTGAGAATCCACAGGTCCTCCCCATCACCACAGCTCTTACATCTCTCATTACATTAACAGCTCTTCCAGGTACCTCAGCAGAGTATCATCGTACACTTAAAACTGGCCCATACACGTGGCAGGAGATGTGAATTATCCAAAACAGTTAACATGTTACAGGGTCCACAAATGAAGGATTTTCAGCTCCCATTTCATATCATGGCACCAGGCCGAGATCACAAATGTTTAAAATCCTAAAGAGATTTACCGTATGTACTTAATCCTACCTAAGTAACTGTTAGCTGGAACGGGAACTAGATTCTTATCTTGGCGGCTCTCATCACCAACTTCGTAAGGCCCATCATCAAAGATACCCAGATCATAAAATGTCTGATTCTTTTGCTCTGCTCGAACCACCCCTGAAGAAATGAAATGATAAAATAAAAGCAAATGAATGGTAAGGGAGAAAAATAAGAGATAAATGGTTCCCAACTGACATTAATTATGATGAATGAGATAGTGACTGCTGTTTAAATGGGACAAACACAGAATAGTGCATTGGGTGGAAGTGTTTTCAAAAAGCAATGAATTTCTAAGTTCTGTGTGCCAGAATCTCACAGTGCCCTACAGAGAGGCCACACCATGATTTGAAAAACATGAGACACTAAGAAAATTCTCAACAAAAACATGGGACCAACCTGGCCAGGAACCACCCTCATCCCGCAGTTCTCAACCTCATAAGGCCTCTCTTAAAAGGGAGGTCAGTACGCAGGAATACAAAAAAAAATAATTACTGTTCAGCTATGACAAATACCGGTGATGTATTTAGAAAACATTAGTTAAGGGGAAAAGAGCTGCTGTTCAATTAAATGTGTGCTTCCCTTTTATCAATAGGCATATTTAACATTTTGGCAAGCATAACATGTTTTTCCATGATACAAAGAGTACTTGTATGACTGATATACTGTCATAGCACTTCTCTGCAGTTAAACAGTGTCTGAACTCAATATGCTGTTTCAGCTTGGTCAGATTTTGTTGACAGATACATGGAAGATTGAGTTTTCACTAAAGTACACCTTGTGCCAGAGCTTAACTGAAAGATTTTGCACGGTTCATATAACAGGCACAGGTGTATGAGGGGAAAAAATGTAATGGTTCCAGGATCAGATGTTCTAAAGAGGGAAGTATTCACAGCTGTTGGTGTAATGAAGTGTGACGGGGAAAAAACACTTTAAGAAAAAGAGAGCAAGCTGGCCATTTAGATGCTTCTCAATATAAACTAACGGAAGATCTATGGTTTTTTCCCTTAAATTTTGGAGTATCTCCTAGATGATACAGAGTATTTGGCTCTTAGTCAGCCAGATCATCCACGGAATTTTACATGGATATCCATGGATTTAGATACTAATATATGTAGTATTGCTCTGTTCCATTATCTTCCTGCAATCCTCCAGTATTTAATTTGGGAAGTACTTTCCACAGACTTCACGAAGAATAAAGTGGAGAATACTGCAGGATAAACAAAGGTCTCAGTGCAGCTATCTAACATTTTCTCAAATGCAGGAAAAAAGGTTGGTCAAATAACTTTAAAACAACTTAGTGATTTGTTCCTATGGAAGTCTCAAAGCAAGCACTCAATCCCACCATGACATTAAGACTAATAATGGAAAAATTTGCGGTACGTATGTGCAAAGTTCCACTATCCATAAGTACTCCCCCAAAGATATTTAAAGGAATTGCAGTAAATATTTTTGATACAGTAGCATAGCATCTTGTGAAAATCATCCGATCCCTATTATTCCCTCCCCTCTCCTCCCCCTCCCGCCAAAAAAATTTAAATTTAGGACGCAACCCTTATGAGCAATCTCAGATGAAACGGGAAGGGTAGGCAGGAAGGAAGCCAGGTCGTACCTTTCCAATTGTAAGTGCCTGGGGCACCAAACACAATATAATGATAGTCTCTAGTAAAAGTAGCAGCAACACCTTGCTGACAGGAACCAAACTTCTCATGGCCTCTTAAACGACCATCACAAAAACTCCACACTCCATTATCCATATCATCCTTAATAGTGAGATCCTGGCTCAGCACATAGCACCTTCCAATGATATCCCGGGTTTCCTGCACTGTGTTTACATACTGCCTTTTCTCATAGCGATGTGCACATGTCTGCAAGACAGAAGAAATAATAAGTGATGCTTTCTGTATGTCTGTATTCAAGTCATCAAAGAAGGCTGGTCTTTAGCAATACATCATGCTAGCAATGTGGTAAGTAAGTCACCTTCTAGACACAACTGTGTTGCAATGCAGAGAGAATCCACTGTTCCCTGTGGGCAAGGCATGGAAAAACTTGGGCATCTATAGATGCAAGTCAGAGCAACCAGCTTCATGGTCAAAGAAGGCCACATGGTTAAATCCCTCTTCCCTGTGAGATTTACGGTTTTTAGCCCTAAAGCCTTTCCTGGTACCTAATCCCTCTCCTTCAAGATATGAGGAGAGAGCCACCCTATCTCTCATGTCCTACAGCTGTCAAAGTTAAATGACTTACATGCTTGTGCAGGACATGAGAAGCTGGTTCAACTATCATCTACCTGAGACTATTCAGAACTCTCCCCTTCCAGAAAAGTGCCAGAAGTCAGAGGCTGAAAGTTTTGCCAGTGAAGGGGAGGGAAGTTGTTCCTACTTCCTACAATGGATGTTCCACTTACAGGATAACTGTCACTGGGAGAGAACAGCAGGACTGAGCACAACCTGTTCCTTAACCTTTTAGACTGTTCACTTGGGAACAAGATTCCAATCAAATATTTAACACAAAGGATGAATAGCCACTGAGTTCAGTGGTGTAACCACCAAGCCATTGTAAAAAGAGGTGGAACAATCAAACCCCTTTGCCAGCAGTATTTTTTGCAAAACTACATGTAGTAGGTGTATGAAGAGCACCAGCAAGCCAGGTTTCTCAGCTGACACACCTTTTCAATGGTTCTTATCAAGGCTTCAATATTAAGCAAACAGTTAGAGCTGCTGCACCACACAGAGCACTGCAGTACTGCCCTGCTGTACAGTGACCTTCAGGCTGCTCGCACATCATCTAGTAAGTGCACTTTGACTTATCACTTACAAAGAGAAGTTCCTTCTCAGAACAGACAAGACAGCATGATGTTGATGATTAATTATTCAGTGAGCAGAGCTCTTTCCATCTATTCTTCCTCCCTTTGGGTTCTGAGGCAGACTGAACCAAGTTATTACTGTCGCTATATCCTTAAGTAACTCCAGATTCACACCCTGAAGTCGCCTGCCTCCAGTTTTGGAAGCAGTGACATTAACCTGTAAGAATACAATTAGACAGGGAAGCTTCACTGCACACCCATTTTATGATGTAGCTGGTATCCTGCAGCACCACGACCAGTTTATTTAACTAAGAAAGAGCTAAAAAAGTAACATTCTGTGGTAACTCCTGAAAGCTTTTTCTCTCTGTATTGTATAAAGTAAAAATAGCTAGTAGGCTTACTGCAGTGCAATGGCCACATTAATTCATAGGAGCAACTCAGCCAAAGTCCCTGAAAGTTAAAGTGACACTGATCATCTTGGAAAACAGGCTGGCAATAGCCTGCTATCTTTACAACTTTATCACACAATTTTTCCCTATTTAAAAGAAACAATCTGTATACTACACAAAAAGTGGACACCCTGAAAATGAACTGTCCATTCTAGACTGTTACAAAAGTTACAAAGAAAAGCTACCTCAGAGTTAGAAAAACAATTCAAAGCTTTTACAATCTTAAGTGCCTTACTTTGCTAGGGAGACATTTAAGTCCTTACTTATAAGAAATGACAGAAGTAAACACAGGAGAGTTACCTTCCAGAAAGCTGCATAGAAACACAGATCATTCAGAACATCTACTGTAGATCCAAAGTGTTTTTATAGGTTAGTCCTTTAGACTTACCACCACATTTCCTCCTGGCCCCTGACTTTGGACAGTTACACCCATCCATTGGTCTTCTTTACTCTCCATCTTTGGGTCAGCTGCAGAGTATCATAATACAGTTTCAAATATTAACAGTTAACTACTTTTTCTTGTTCTTTCTTTGTATTTTAAAAAGTCCCTGTCAGGACAGGCAGTTCATACAGTATATGAGACCGTCTGCAGGTGGCAGTGTCTGCACATTTTATCACCAAAAACATCCATTTTATTAAATGCTTCTACCATGTTACTTCATGTCACATCAATTTACGAAAGAATAAGAACATTCAAATCTACCAAGATTTAAGCATTCTCATACTATCTTGCAATTAAGCTACAACTTATTCTGATGCAAAAAAAGTTATGTATAAATCCATGGAAGCAACTGTTTGATATGCTGACTCTGGAAAGGACCACGTCAAATAAGAAAAATCAGACAAATGTGTCAATCCAAAACAAAAGCACTGAAGAACTTACTCTCCTCATCAAATATGACACGCGTGCAGTGGGTATTTGGAGAGGTGATGTCACAGCTGTACAACCCTCCTGTCCTGTTGGCTTGTTGGGATGGAAAGGCCTTTTCCCGAGGAGCTCCAACCAGCAATCTGTAGAGAAACAATTTCAAGGGATCTGTAGGGTGAAGATTAGAAAAAAGGCAAGCAACAGAATTTGGAAGTGTTTTTGCCGTGTTGCTAGAGGTTTCACATGCAAACATGGAAGATGGATGAACACCTACAGCACAGTACTGATCCTTAAAAAAAAAAAAAATTAAGGGGTTGGGAGCAGGGGCTGTAAAGCAGCTATTATTGGACCTGCAAACTAGTAAATGCATTGTTATTACTGTCATTATTGCTGCAATGTTCACTGACAGTGGTTGATAAAAATTTTTAAAAAGTAGGTGTCTGACAGTTTTGCAAAAAACATCCTTCCATCAGGGAGTCAAGTGGGGTATTTTTTGCCTTACTAGAAATTGTTGGTAAGGGCAGGAAAAGTATTGTTACTAAAATGACCACGAACCCCCAGAACAGTGAATACAAGTGCTTTCAGGCTGTCTTCCATTTTTACACCAGTCCTGTGCTGAATTTACAGGCACCTTAACATCTCTGACCTATGAAGCAAAGCAAGAACTCTCCTGACCCAAGTAAGAGTTCACTGACCTATTCCCAGGCTCTCCTTCGGCCAGATACTCCATTTTGAAGCTGAAAATGTTCTTCTCCAACAAATCTCTCATCAAGAACAGGCCATTCCCACAAAGGACTTATTTCTCCTACAGAAAGGCCACCCTAATGAGCCCTCCTTAGACAGTGTTCTGGTAACCAAAGGGGAAGGTTCTTACTTTAAAAACAGAATAAAGCAATTTTTTTCTTCCTGTATCAACTGTCCCCCATGAGTATTGTCACAAAATCACCAGTAGATATATTTACTTGCAAAACAAGCGGTTCCAGCCAAAAAAATTCTTACATTGTCTGTGTTTCTTTGCAGTGTCACACAAAGCACAGCTGCCTCTCAAGCAGCTAACTGAAACTACTAACAACCAGTATGCAGTAATTTGTAGAAGAAACATCACGCTTGGCTGAAAAAATGAGAACATGAGAACAGCATGTGGATAGGTGCAACGCAGCAGGTACGATGGATAGATGGATGGATGGATGCTGAAACAGACTCCATATGTTTCCTGACCCTGATAGAAAACATTTGAGAAAAGAGATCCCTGACATTACAGTGTCAAGGACGGCAAAGTTGGGACTATAGTTGGATCCATAAGGCTCAAAGAGGAACTCAGACCCTCTTTAAGATTTCAGCTAGAAGAGTTTTGCTAGAGAGAAAAGCTTTTCTTCAGGCTTTATAGCAGCAGTGGGACAAAGCACACTGCTGTCCCTCAGAATGCTTTTCTTACTAAAATCAAGACTCAGTTTTATTCATATCTAACAGTTAAGACTGGATCAGTTAAGATCAATACATAATTTTTGTTATTAAGAAAACCTTTACTCAATATCACTAAGTAAGGAGACACAAAATGAAAGTGATTCATTATGAGAAAATGCACTTTTTTAAAAACAGAAAATTACATCTGTGTTGTGAAACAGCCAAGTTTTCACCACTCTTACAGAAATAAATTCTCCCACAATCCATAATTTGCCCTCATGCAGGTAAACCCCTGAATGGCGAAGACTTCAGGTAAAATATTTGCTTTTGACTGATACACACATAAAATCAGGACACACAGTGTGGGTGGGTTTTGGTTTAAAGTGTTTCCTTCTTTTCCCCCTACATATGTCTGGCATCTTTTTCAAAGATTTTTTTTCAGAAACATAGCAGTCATCACAAGAGTTTGTAATCTAAACAACCACGCTTTTAAAAAGGCCATTAATAACTTCATTTTCTAATTTTGGCAAGAGTGCATTTAACTGTAATCTCAGAGTAATTCTTTTGCAAAGCATCTGTTTCTGAGCTATTTCAAACGTGGGAATACATACTTTTTCTCCTCAGTTCTGTTATCCTCCAGGGAAAGACAGATGAGTTTGGTTCTTTTTGGTTTTTTTTTTTTTTGTACATTTTAACATTAACCACCATAAATTTAAGAAAGTAGAGGCATGATTTCCTGACTTACAGAAATCTTTATTATTTCTACTTTTTCATTCAAAATTTGGGGGGGTAAAAATGATGTATTCAATTTCGCTTACAGAAATTTGATCAGAAACCTTTTGTTTCAACATTGTGAATACAACTAGAAGCTTCTGGAATTGAAATACTTAATTTGGTTTAACTCATCTGGCTGCATACTACTGAGAGCAGCAGTGCTAGGTCAAGAAAATTACGACCCTGTTCTTTTCTATGGGGTAGTTAGACTATACCCTCTCCCTAGCTAAATGATACCTTTTACAACATACCATGATGTCACCATGATCTTGAAGACAATTCAGCTAGAGGGAAGACCTGCTGAGGAATCAGAGAATAAATAGCATGGCCAACAGAAGATAGTGGAAAGATGTGCCACCTGACATAAGATGCCCCAGACATTCAATGACATCTCAAAACACCTGTTGAAATTAATAGATGAAAAATGCAACTGTTCAGCCTTCTTACAAAAAAATTGTCAATCCAACACAGTCTCAAGGGAAACAGGTGACCTTAGATTTTTCCCAGCACCCATACCACCCCCTGTTCAAATCTTGCAAAATTTATTTTCCACTGTAAAAAAAGTACTTCAAAGCAGACTTATTTAAAACTCTCCATACTTCAAAGATGTTCTGTCAGGACTCCTGTCCCTCATCTTCAAGGCTCATCAACCACAGAAGTCTTGAATCCTGTTAGGTACATCACTGCAAGTCCTTATTCACAACACAGTTCAACAGTAGCACACACTATGAGCAGGTGCTTGCAAAGGATTAGATCAGTTCAGGTAGACACTACGGTAAATCCCAAAATTCATTTTCAACTAGCAGCCAAAGACCCACTAAAAAGTGGTGTAACTCCTTTGTACTTCTTCACTACTTACCTGCCCCAAAGACCACAGCAGAGAAGACTAAACCTATACTTCCACATTCTGTAAAACAGGTTACTAATGGTGATGAGGATTAGAAACATGAAGATTATCAACATTATTAGGAATGTAAGAAAATCACATGCATCTAATCTTTGGCTGAATAAATCAAGCAAAACTTAATAATCCCTTGTCAAGCATATTGTGACTTGTCATCAACAGAGCTGCTGTTCACCTTGCCTACTGCTCAACAGGTACATTTTTAAAATCAGAATTCTATTATAGAAGCCAAGTTACTTCATTTAAAAATAAAAGTGTGCACGAAACTAAGGAAGTGTGACATGCACCATGCAGCAGTGTGAATTTCAGCATGACTACAGCAGTCCAAATTAATCAGCTTGTACAACGAGCTGTGCTACGTGCTCAGCCGAGTCCTTCCAGACTAAGGACGCATTCCAGTCATTACTGTATAGCTACCTACCCGGCTGTGTTTTAATAGAAGAATTTTAATCAAGTTTGAGCTCATTATGCCAAAAAACGGGTTAGGTTTTTCTGCAGCTATGCATGTTCCATTTTAGCTTTCTCAGTGGCACGCAAAACCTCTTTCTGCAAAAGGAAAGAGGAAAAGGGGAAAGCCAAGGTGCTCTCCTAGCTATCGCTATCTCCTTACACTGGCAGATGAAGCACTGAGATTAAAACCAAAGAACTTCCTTTGCAAATAAAGAGTGGCAAAATAAGTTCTTCATTTCCCTCCACCCACGATCACAGTATGATTCGGTTTATTATCTGGGACTTCTCACTGAAGGTGTATGAGGGCTACAGACACTATTTTAAATTCAGATCTGAATGCCCAAAGTCAGGCTCCAGAATCCATATTTAGATACCAAAATAACACCCCGATGTCGAGACTGCAGAGTCAGAGATGAAAACCCCGGAGACTCCAACATGCAGCATTTTACTGATTTTCTATCCCGTGGCAGGTCTGCCTTATTACCATGCAGAGAACAGAAGCTCAGCCATACCGTATGCTGAACATAGAAGATGTCTAAGCACCAGTTCTTGCTGGAGCCTTAGCTTTTTATGATTTGAGTTATGACGACTTAGTATCTAATGTTTACCATATGAGCTAAAAGACAAAAAAATTACTATTCCTCATGTAAATTACAGAATCAGATGCTTTGTACTACTTGAATCCTCATATTCCCCCTTCATCTGCCTTAAATATACACTATAAACTGATTAGGTTTTCCCTGAGCCAATCAGACTGCACAGGTGTTAAATTAACTTCTATTAATAGTTCATTACATTACATTTCTGTAAATTAAAATAAGTGTCTATCAAGTGACAATGTTGGAAAAAATCATCATTCTCTCATACCCTGGCACAAAACTACAATGCTCTTGAGCTCCAGTTATACCCCGTAATTAAAACTTCCGCCTTCCAATTTCAAACTAAAAATTCTAATTTCAAACCAAATAAATCAGTCCTATTGCTCTCCTAGTTAGAATTAGATTAATTATTGCTTTCTCTTAATTACTTCTTGGAGATATGTGATAATGACTGAAGTCTCACTGCCAATTATGAGCATCTGCTAGCTTCCAGGGACAGATTTACTCCCTTACAACCCTGGATTCATGGCCAAACTTGAGATAATCCTATAGGATTAGAGCTCCAGGATGGGCATGTAATGCCGATTTGACTAACTGACCTCACTGAGATGCGATTTTGGCTCAGGTGGATGGTGCCTGCATTGCACAGATGCTGGTGACCCCAGCTGTACCTGCATGTATGAGATGCAGCCACAACGTCCAACAGGGACAGGCATGAGCCCCCCTTTGCCCCCCCCCCCCCAAGAGAGGGACCAGTGTAGCACCACATCCCCCTGCATAACCCTAGGGCACAGCTACTCCCACCCTGCCTCACTGCAATAATACATTACACCTGAACGGAACAGCTGAGGCTAGAACTCCATTTCACCAGTTATGGTGAGCACTACTGAAGCCTCAGAAAAGGCATCACGACATCTGACTCACTTGATCTAGATCTGGACCAGACCTTTGGATAACTGTATGTACAAAACATGCTTTACAAAGTCACACATTTCCAGGAAGTGAA